TGAAAGACAGAGCTGCTTAAATCAGTCGTCTCTGAAGCTAAACGTTGGATTATTAATGGGTTTTTCAAGGTCTCCGAGGAGATTTTTTAACACCAACTACGTCAGTATAAATAATTATCTTAATTTCGAAGGACTTCTTGAATGATTTTGCATTTGATTAGAGGCGGAGGCCGAAGCAACTGAGACAGGTTTTACATTAAAGAGCAGTGGTTTTCATCAAGACAGGGATTAGGATAAAATCTGTCTGCATGCCTTCAAGTTTCTAAAGTCAGGAAGAGGTAAGAAGAGATTTGAAATAGTTTTATTAAAAGGTAAATGTAGAGTTGTATGAAAAAAGGTCAAGACAATCTGACCGATCGGCTGATGTGCTGAACTTCATCTGCAGGATTTAATTTTGAATCAAAGACAACCGCAGATCATTTCTGGTATTCTCTCTTCTCTGTTTAAAGATGTGAGAGAACCGAAGCTGTTTTGAGTCCAGATCTGTTTGTCCTTCATAGTAAACAGTAAACAGAGACAAACGGTGTGAGAATGAAATCACTCGGTTTGTCACTTTATACTTAACTGTTGGAGTGATGGCTCGTTTTAGATTCACTGAATCATTCGTTGTGGAGTTTGCATGTTCTCTTCATGCATGTGTAGGTTTTCTCCAGGTACTCCAGTTTCCTCCCACAGACTAAAAACATGCATGTTAGGCTGATTGGTAACTCTAAATTGTCTCTAGGTGTGAGTGAGAGAGTGAATGGTTGTTTGTCTCGTTTATCTCTAAGAGTCCCTGTGATGGACAAGAGACCTGTCCAGGGTGTCCCCTACCTCTCACACAGTGACTGCTGGACATGGGCACCACTGACCCCCACAACCCAGAAAGGAAGACACGGGTAAATACAATGATTCACTGAATGATGTTGTCCACTGATCACTACCTGGTGGTGAGTTGGCTCCGATGGTGGGGGAGGATGCCGGTCAGACCTGGCAGACCCAAACGTATTGTGAGGGTTTGCTGGGAACGTCTGGCAGAGTCTCCTGTGAGACGGAGTTTCAACTCCCACCTCCGGGAGAACTTCGAACATGTTCCGAGGGAGGTGGGGGACATTGAGTCTGAGTGGACCATGTTTCGTGCTTCTATTGTTGAGGCGGCTTACCGGAGCTGCAGCCGCAAGGTTGTCGGTGCCTGTTGCGGCGGCATCCCTCGAACCCGATGGTGGACACCGTCGGTGAGGGATGCTGTCAGGCTGAAGAAGGAGTCCTATCGGGCCTTTTTGGCCTGTGGGACCCTGGAAGCAGCTGATGGGTACCGGCAGTCCAAGCAACATGCGGCTCGGGTGGTTGCTGAGGCAAAAACTCTGGCATGGGAGGAGTTCGGAGAGGCCATGGAGAACGACTTCCGCACGGCTTCGAGGCGATTCTGGTCCACCATCCGGCGTCTCAGGGGGGGAAAGCGGTACGCCACCAACACTGTTTATAGTGGGAGTGGTGTGCTGCTGGCCTCAACTTGGGATGTTGTGGGTCGGTGGGCGGAATACTTTGAAGACCTCCTCAATCCCACCAGCATGTCTTCCACTGAGGAAGCAGACTCTGGGTCGGGCCCTCCGATCTCTGGTGCTGAGGTCACCGAGGTGGTTAAAAAGCTCTTCGGTGGCAGGGCCCCAGGGGTGGATGAGATTTGCCCAGAGTTCCTTAAGGCTCTGGATGTTGTAGGGTTGTGTTGGCTTACGCAACTCTGCAATATTGCGTGGACATCGGGGGAAGTTCCCCTGGATTGGCAGACCAGAGTGGTGGTCCCCCTATTCAAAAAGGGGGACCGTAGAGTGTGTTCCAACTACATGGGAATCACGCTCTTAAGCCTCCCTGGTAAGGTCTATTCGGGGGTTCTGGAGAGGAGGGTCTGTCGGATAGTCGAACCTCGGATTCAGGAGGAGCAGTGCAGTTTTCGTCCTGGCCATGGAACACTGGACCAGCTCTACACTCTCAGCAGGGTCCTAGAGGGTGCGTGGGAGTTTGCCCAACCGGTCTGCATGTGCTTTGTGGACTTGGAAAAGGTGTTCGACCGCGTCCCTCGGGGGACCCTGTGGGGGGTACTCTGGGAGTATGGGGTACCGGGCCCTTTGATATGGGCTGTTAGGTCCCTGTATGACCGGTGTCAGAGCCTGGTCCGCATCGCCTGCAGTAAGTCGGGCTTGTTCCCAGTGAGAGTTGGACTCCGCCAAGGTTGCCCTTTGTCACCGATTCTGTTCATAACTTTTATGGACAGAATTTCTAGGCGCAGCCAAGATGTTGAGGGGATCCGTTTTGGTGGCCTTAGGATTGCTTCTCTGCTTTTTGCAGATGATGTGGTCTTATTGGCTTCATCAGGTCGTGATCTACAGCTTTCGTTGGAGCGGTTCGCAGCCGAATGCGACGCGGCCGGGATGAAGATCAGTTCCTCCAAATCCGAGGCCATGGTCTTGAGCCGGAAAAGGGTAGAGTGCCCTCTCTGGGTCAGGGAGGAGGTCCTACCCCAAGTGGAGGAGTTCAAGTATCTTGGGATCTTGTTCACAAATGAGGGAAAAATGTAGCGTGAGATCGATAGGCGGATAGGTGCAGCGTCTGCAGTGGAGCAGGCGCTGTACAGGTCTGTCGTGGTGAAGAGAGAGCTGAGTCAAAAGGCGAAGCTCTCAATTTACCGATCGAGCTACGTTCCTACCCTCATCTATGGTCACGAGCTTTGGGTTGTGACCGAAAGAATGAGATCTCAGATACAAGCGGCCGAAATTAGTTTTCTCCGCAGGGTGTCTGGGCTCTCCCTTAGATATAGGGTGAGAAGCTCGATCATCCGGGAGGGACTCAGAGTAGAGCCGCTGCTTCTCCACGTCGAGAGGAGCCAGTTGAGGTGGCTTGGGCATCTGTTTAGGATGCCTTCTGGACGCCTCCCTGGTGAGGTGTTCCGGACACGTCCCACCGGAAGGAGGCCCAAAGGAAGACCCAGGACACGCTGGAGGGACTATGTTTCTCGTCTGACCTGGGAACGCCTCGGGATTCCCCCGGAAGAGCTGGCCCAAGTGGCTGAGGAGAGGGAAGTCTGGGCCTCCCTACTTAGGCTGCTACCCCCGCGACCCGACCCCGGATAAGCGGAAGAAAATGGATGGATGGTTGGAAACAGAGCTGATTTTACTAACGTCATTATTTGTCATTTCGTCACCGTTGGGTCTTTATTAGAACCAAACATGAGGATTGCAGGTTCTATTGGTGACTTTATTATATATAACATGAACTTTGAACATGCTTTGGATTTGTAAAGACTTTTAAAGACAGTGAATGAAGAGCTGAGACACACACACGTTTTGTTTCCAGTGTTTCTTATTATCTGGCTTTAGACGCAGATTTGACCTTTCAGGAAGGTTGGTTGGAGCACAGAGAGGCTGAAAGAACAAGAACCAAAAAAACAAATAGCTGCATTATGTCCAGAGTGATCGGAATCAGGCACCCTGATCGGACTGAGGAGGGGAACCAGCCCCAAACCCCAAAGAGAGAACCAAACGTGCTGTCACTAAACGGGCTTTTCTGCTCGACTTCAAAGCTTAATCTCAAAATGTGTTGAAATAATTTAATGAATCACTTAATTAGATTTCCATCTCCTTCCTCCTCCTCTCTCTGTGTGTGTATCAGTTGATTTTTCTTTTAAAGAGTGTAAAAAATAAGACTGTTTTCTTTTTTCATTTTTATAAATCTTTTCTCGTTGTTTAGTTGGTCAAATTTTACAGTGTTTTAAAAAACATGCTGATGTTTGAAGTGTAATATTTTATTTGGAAAACTTGGTGTTCCTGTTTTTTGGCCCCCTTCACAGAGCGAAGAGGGGGAAGTGGAAATACCCCCCGTTTGTCCGTCCATCTGTGAATGTTGTGAGCTTCATAACTTGGAAAATAAGTGAGATATAGACTTTCATTTCTACATAAAGAAAGAAAGGTCTCTGTTGAAAATTGTCTTGTTTCATCAAAATCCAAGATGGCCACCACCAAATATATATATATATATATATATATATATATATTAACAGCTGTTGC